CCCGGAGATCTTCCCAAGATATATACCCACTTAGCAAAAATGGGAACTTCCGTTTTTTACCTGGGTGTAGGAAAATCTGAAGAAAAGGTAGAAACTCAATCAAACGACATCGAATTTTTGTGAAATTTAAACTAGAGCTTCGCTAGTTCATGGTGAAACTTTGCCCAGCAGATCTCCTCAGGAAGATCAAGAATTCAGCACGAATTTCATGAGTTCGGTCAAGAACACTAGAGGGAAGGGTTCGGGGAAAACTAAAGATTCGAGGTGCTCATGCATGGATTCAGTAGAGGGGACTACCCAGTAGGATGCACCTGAGCACTAAGCAACACTAAGAGGTGATTTGGTTTTTGTTTTTCCTTGGCATGGGAAAAGATGGATTATCATCCTAGATGTGTTTCACATCTATCTATTATCTACTAAAAGTCCATTAAACTTTCTACAAACGCTCTTAAGTCGCCATTTGGCATCCTATAAACGCTCCTAAGCCGCCACATGACACTCTAACAAATAACCGTTGATTTTCATTAAATTTAGTGGATCCATTATTTACAACCATTGGATTTATTTTTGTTTAAAATATCATCTACTAAACCCGGCCCCACCGAGCATTAAGTACGTATATTGTAAGTTACATACGTACGCCTCCCTTCCTTCGATTCCCTCTTTCTATTTTCCATTAATTCTTTCTCCTATTTTCATGCTTTATTTGTTAAAAAATTTAAGTAACTAAGATGTCTAAATCATATAATTGTTTTTTTTATCCATCGATGTCTTTATATTGTTTACGAGCAAATTCACGGTTAAAGACCAAATTTCACTGTAATTAAAAGTTGAAAAGAAATATGTTACTTCTGGGCTATATTTTCTGACTTTTGCATGCATTTCAAACAATTAGAAGAAATTTGAAAAAACAGTAATATAGATTTTATCATTCTACATAACTTCACGGTAATTAAATTAGATCTATGGTTCTAAAAGTAAAATGAACCGGCTATGTTTGTTCCATGGGGTTGGGACCTAATCTCCCGAGCACGCAAAACAAGCAACTCATTAGCGCATGATTAATATAATATTAGCCTTTTTTTAAAAAAATAGATTAATATGATTTTAAAAGCAACTTTCGTATAGATTTTTTTTGCATAAACCATACCGTTTAACCGTTTGAAAAGCGCGCACCTGGAGGTAAGAAGGGATGACTTGCGAACTTAAAGCAAAGAACACAGATGTAATGTTCCCAAAATATATTAGTTAGGAATCAAAATTTGTGCTAAAAAATTAAGCAACTATGATACCTAAATCATAAAAATAATGTTATTTTAATCACAAGACGTCCATGCCTACGCACGAACCGCATTATTTATACTATTTTACATTTAGGGGCCCATATTCACTATAATTCAACTTTGAGAAAAATATGTAACTTTTGGTTATATTTTTTGACCTTTGTGTCCAATTCAAAAAAATTATAAAATTATGGAAAAATTAATGATATAGATTTTATCACCATATATAAATTAACAATAATTAAATTAGATATACGATGAAAAAAATTAAATGAACCTAACTTTGGTTAATGTTCCAAAAAGTACACCTCTCATTTCGACATTATAATAAGTCAAAAAATATTATTACATTTGTAGTGTACATATTTTTAATATCCCTGTATACATATAAATATATTTATGAAGAGACAACTAAAAATAGATACATCTTAATCAATAAATAAAGAATTTATTCTATTTTTTATACAATAAAGCAATAGTAATTAAAAAATTAATATAAAAACAAACAACAATTAGCTAAATGACTATATCATAAGTTACTTCTGGTTTTTAAGTTCATTTGAACTATCATTTTATTTATAAATAAATAAATAATTTAATATCCATATTACCCATTTTTCACTGTAAATAATATGTCATTTGTAGACACCTATGCGAGTCAACCAAATAAAAAAATACTGTAGAACAATAAAAAATTGATAATAATTACTATATCATCTTAAATCATCGTACATTCTTTATAGAGCACTAACAGTGGCATGTGTTAATTCTTAAATTTAAAAATAAAATTTTAGAATTTATAAGAAAAACATTTGACCATCGGTTTCGACTTCAATTTGTAGATCCATTATTTTCAACCATTATATCTACTTTTAAAGAAAATCATAAGCCGCTCGGTCTTACATCTCTTAATAATTAGAAAAAAATATTTGAAATTTTAGGAACAAAACAAAAGATCATCGGTTTTCACTTAAATCATTTAGAAAAGAATAGGAAAGAAACCCCCCCCCACCACCAAAACTTCGCCCTCCTCGTCACATGCGCACAAACACAACACTACCCATCCCCTCACCCCTCGGCTCGCACTTTCCCCGCTACCTCTCCTTGATATTTTTATAGCTCTCAAACTAAAAAGAGAAATAATCAATAATATTAAAACATACATAATTTTTAAGCCACACATCTGATTTCTAATCCAAATTGCTCTACTCATAACTAAACCAACAATTTAAAGATCCATAACGCATATTCTGAACTTAAAATAAGAGTGGTATAAAATAAAATAAGAAACGCCTTTGTTCTCCGTAGCTTAACGGACATGTTTTTTCTTTGATGTAATAACCATTGCCATTTTCTTCGTCGGCCACCATCTTCCGTAAACATTTTGCCATTCTGGTAGATGTTTACTCAGTTTGCACGTACGCCGGAGATGGGGAGACGTGAACTCTCTTTCTAAGAGGAAACTATTGCCCATCTTTGACAAGGGATCGGAGACCGTAGAGGATGGCAGCCACATGCTGGAGAAGGATGGATGTGTAATAATCGGGATTGCGATGCCTTTGCGTTGCAAATGTTGTGTGTGCAAATATTGCTCCTTCCCGTTCGCTTTGTCCGCTTGCCGCGTGGCCACCGGCGTGGATCGGAGTCCGTGACGCTACGCTGGGCTCGTGTTCCACGCCGCGATCGATCCGATCCAGAGCGCATGCATCACGTACGTACACGTAGCTAGTCACGTACGCATCATGCATGCCCTGTGCTGCGCTCGCCGCCTGACGGGACGTCGCCGGTGGCGGCTAGCTCGCGGCGGCCGGTCCGGCTGGGTCCGTCGCCGCACGTACGGTGTCGTGCAACACGGCTACCAGCTAGCTGTTTCCGTTGAACAGGGGGTCTCATTGGAGTTCAATTATTCGTCCGGTACGGTCTCGTGTGCTGTGCGTGTGTTTCATGTTCTAAAAACTTTTGCTGTGCTTCTTGTTCTTGTATACGGTTGGAATATGAATTTGGCACCGCGCGTTTGGAGCGCGATGGTTTCGTCTGGTTTGCTGCTCTACGGGACTACTGGACTAGTGTTTCATGTGGCATCATGCATCCTGTACGCACGCGTCAATGTTCTTCAATTCCCCTCTGCGCGCGACCCGGTTCGGGATGACGTGTGAATTCAGTCCCGTTTTTCTTGTGGGACGGGGCCGTTCCTTTCCGTACTATGGAATCTTCGTGCCAAACATTTCTTTCTACATTTGTTACGTGGATATTTTTCTTTGACTTCCTGAATTAAGTTAATTTGGACTTTTCTAAATATACTAGCAAATATGCCCGCGCGACAAGCACGTGCTACCTTCATTATGGCGGCGCTGCTGTTTTGACGATGAAGATCAGTCCTGGGTTCATATTTCATAGTGCATGTCACCTTTGGTTCTGGTATATTTTGACGATGAGTAGTCCTGGGTTCGGACTGTTTCGTCAAGCGAAGGAGCCTGACAGATGGGGTCGTCAGGAGGATTATGTTTCAATGACTGGTAGGTCCGTCGGTCGCCAAAAGTTTTGGATCTTTATAGCCCCCCCCCCCCCTCCGGCTATCAGAGGCGAAGTGTGCACCTTCATTCTTACAGAAATAATGAACAAGAAAGAACGTTTTCACGTCAAATAGACTTATGAACTTGGCTAGATAATTTATTGTCATGTAAAAAAGATATTTTTATAATTTCTTGTGATGTAAAAAAATATGTTTTTATGGAGTGCAATGTAATTTACTTTCATATGTACAATATTTATGGTAGTTTACTAAATTGTCATCAAATTTGATCAACTACAATTTACGTTGTACTATTTATTTGTTTTCTCCTTTTTTTTCCTTATTGATAGGTCGTGGAGGTCGAGGACATTATGGCTTTAATTTATTTGGTAAGTATATATGCGGTTCTATGAGCAACGACCGAAATTGTGGCTCTCAGGGGTGTGAATTTGCTGTGCAAAATTGTGGCATTTGAACTGCATATGTGAATGATGTCAATTTTTTATATGGATCTGTGTTGTTGGTGATCTGTAATGTTTGAGATGGATCTGTGATGTTACATTGGGGGGTGACTGGAATATATCTGTGATGTATCTGTGTTTCAGAGGGCATGGCTAGCAAATCCTGAGGCTAACCAATATTTAGCATTTTTTTTTCTGGAATTAACTCATCAGTGACGGGTCGAAACAAAAATCCGTCAAAGGTAACCTCACCTGTGACGGATTAGCAAATAAAGGCCCGTCAGAGGTGACCTACCTGTGATGGGCCTTTACTTTTGGGGCCGTCACAGGTAGATCACCTGTGACAGCTTATATCTACGGAGACCATCACCTCTAACGGCCTTTATTTAAAGGGCCGTCAGAGATAAGTCACCTGTGACGGGTCCCAACTCGCCCTAGGCTAGCGGAGACCAACACCTCTGACGGCCTTCTAGTAACTTGCCCGTCAGAGGTGGGTGTCACCTGTGATGGCCGGCCACCCGTCAAAGGTGTCTGGACTCACCAGTGACCACAGATCACTAACCATGCGCGAAGCCGTTAAAGATGAGGGTTTGGGTTAGCCCGTCAGAGGTGTAGTGTCAATCTTTTGGCCTAACCCACCAAAATTCTTGCGAGTGTAAATAAATCATCCACCTCCCAGCACACATACGCCAACATTTTGCTCAGTTGTTAAAGGAGAGTATCATTCCCTCGCACACCTTCAAATATGGATAAATTAAGGTATAAATGTATAAGAACATGTCATGTTAACATAAGATTGTAGTCATGTAACATAATATTTTTAGCTGCACATGCAGAAATATAAACAATATTTGTTGAAATTGGAGCGCAGATCCCTATAATGCGTTATAATAAAAAAATATAGCAGAGTTGGGAGAATTGTGTGGTCGAGATCTGCAAAGGTGCAAAACCAGTTCCTGGGCCAATCAAGATAAATGGTGGAAGTGAAGGATCAGCAGGATGTTTAAAGTTAGATTCTCACAAAAATTGGAAACCAGCTGCAGTTCTTGGTCTGTTGTGATGGTATAGCATTCTGCAAAATTGATTACAACAAGAGATAAATTGATGATAAAGGCGCAACAACAAAAGGAAGTTACCTAAAATGAGATGACAGCACGATACCTCAATGCATTTATGCATCACTTTCTAAACTCATTCACTTAGCTCGCAGGTCTTTGTGTGTTGAAAGTCATGATACAGTATAATTACATCCCTGATGAGTTTGGACACTTGCAAATATGCCAGGGGAGTTCAGGGCTTTAATAGGAGCATCATTAACCTGCAAATATGGAATACAAGGTAACAACATGTATCATACCATCGCAAGGAGCCAAGGTAACAAGAAAGACCGACATTGAAGTGGTTGATCTGCGCGGGTGGCAATGGAGCTTCCGACGGGAAAAGCAGCGGTCGGCGGAGATCGATGATGGCGCGGAGGAGACTGGCCAGGCGTGCGAGTGCGATGTTGATTCGGCAACGGAGATCGGTGGCGGCACGGAGAAGGTCGAGGAGAGATCAGGGGCTACGCGGAGGAGGACGGGAGGGGATCGCGAGGAGTGACGATGCAGAGCCGGTCGTCGAGGCGGAGATCGGCGGCGGCGCGAGGGGAGCGGCGGAGGATGGGAGGGGATCAGCGAGGTGGGCGTCGGTGTCCCGGCGTGGTTCGGTGGGGGCGTCGCCTCCCTGGCGGCGGCGGCACCTGAGAAGGTGGAGGAGAACGGCTGCGACGGGGAATCGGTGCAGCGCGGAAGGCGGGCGACGATTGCGGCGCTGCGTGAGACATGCGAGGAGGGGCTGAGGGCGTGAGTGGCTAGCGGTTGCGTGGGGGATGGCGCAATTGAGGGGAGGGGATGGTGTGCGCCTATGCGGGAGGGGGAGAGGTATGGGAGGTGGAGTCAATCTGGAGCATTGGATTTCACACGGATGATCTGGACCGTTGAGTGATAAATGAAATAATGAGTGAGACCATTTGTTGAACTATAGGGTAGATTAAGGGTAGCGGAAGGGGCAGTCGCTCACGCTTGTCACGTTGGATATTCGCAGGCTAGAAAACCCAAGCGTGGGGGACTGCCACTCCCTGTTGAAAATAGCTCATTGAAAAATTCGAGTCACCCGTCCGAAGTGTCTGCTTCCACCGATTGGATCACCAATCGCTTCCGCCACCATCAACCTGAGCACCATATCTAGTCGTCTTCTTGTTGATTGCAACCATCGAGCGGTCTAGACCGTCGCCTGAAGTGTTCGATCCACCGATCAAATTTCGTTGATCTATGTCGTGCTCCACCGTGCGTCCATGTCCATCCCTAGACTTCCCGTGTGGTCGTTGCTATGTGGAGTACCTCCATCATATCTCTATCAATCTATCATGGACCTTCCATAGGCTTTGATACCACTTGTTATGAAATGTTTAAAATAAGTGGTCTAAGTAATACTGTAGAAGAAACCTTTTGACAAAATATATATTTTCAAAGCATGGAGCAAATAGTCTGTTTCAATAATTCAGTGAATAATCTAAAAAGAACTAAGCCTAAGCATAATTGTCATCTACTGGTATAACCAATTGACCATGTTGCAGGAAGAATGAACCCTGAAAATACATTCAGGCTGAAGATCAAACATTTTACAAATCGAGCAAATAATGAGTGTAGTGGGTTTACCTTCATTAAATACGTAGATTCTGACACAATGAACTACATGGACTTCATTGATGAAACTGACTTGATGTAATTTTTTTCAACAATGCATTGACAGACAGGAGAGTTTCCTCGCTTGAATATATTACTTCAACAGTCTTATACAAGGCTTTTTGACTTCGCAAGCAAACGTGCTCTAGATGAAAGTACTAGAGAATACACGGGAAATATAAGGAAGAGAAAATACCACAACCTATCAAAAGAGCACATGAAACAAACAATCAGAAAAGAAAGAAGAGGTGCTTGAAGGCTAAACTCCAGAACCACTAGCTCCCAAGTTTGAAGCACAATGAATCGAAGATTGCCGGAGGGTCTTCTGCCATGCACAAGCCATCTCTATTTCCAATGATCAAAGGTTGTGCTTGTCTACATCAAGCCATCAAGAGTCCAACTTTGCCAAGGAGCTACTTGGATCAATGGCTGCCGCCGCCCTTTGGGGGATAGAAGCCCCACGGAAGGGAGGTCCACTAAAGGTTACTACCACATGTCACCCGCATCAAGTCATATTTATTCAGGCTTCATCAAATTGCCAACTGGTTCAACACCCTCCAATGTCTTTGGAGGAAGTTAGCCCCATATGAGATAGGGCCGCTAAACATTGGAGCCAAGGACACCCAAGCGAAGATGGTAAAGGCAAAAGAAGGAGCAGAACTAAAGTGAAATGGCGTGAGGCAGCAATAACACTGGTGTACGAACTTCAACATCGGCGGAGGAGAAGAGCATGGTGTAGAAATCATAACAACCACTGGAAAAGGCTAGAAAACCTAACCAATTTGTGGACCCATACTATGTAATTGCAACAGCTTATCTTAAGTTTCTTGAAAGAGGTAAGACATGCATCCCGTTCTCTCCTGCAAATCTTTCAGGTCCTGGCAGGTGCCAAATCGATGTATCGGGGTAGAACACTAACGGTAGAGGTGGCCATTGACTTTTTGCAGCCTACTGTGCACTCCGTAGTCAATTTTATATGTCAATTGATCCTTATCAGCTCTTCAAAATCCTGCAAAACAAATAAAGTCACATTCGAAGCTTGAATTGTAGTTTACATGAATGAAATGCATTTCACAGAAACGGAATATATATGTTTCTCAGATTCATGACAAGAAAAGAACGGAGTTAAGCTCAAAATTCGATAAGAAACTGCGCTTTTCAAGTTTTAGCTGGCAGACAGTCACTAAAAGTTTTATTCCTTTTAAACTGTTGAGTGGTAATCTACTATTTATCTATTATATAAAAAAGTTCAGTAAACATTAATTCTACAAACGCCTCTTAAACCGCCACATGTACATTCTATAAACACTCTCATGTCACCACGTGGCATTTTAATAAATTAGAAAAAAATCAAAAAATTCTGAAAACATCCTACCCTTTAATTTTTACTTAAATCAGTGAGTCCATTATTTATGACATTAAATCTATTATAGTTAACACAAAACTAATTAAATCTATTAAAAAAATCTCTCCTCCCACCCCTCCTGCCGCTCCAGCCGTACGTACGTATATATGTACGCACGTACGTTTTCCTCTCTCCACCCTCTCCTGACTCTTGTATTTTTTTAACTAATCTTTTTAATAGAAAAACGGCTAATAAAATTTAGGATCCACCTCATCCATATTTTACTATATAAAAACTAAAATACATTATTCGAACAAGTCCTATCCTTTACAGGGCAACCAAACATCATCCGATTTTTAATTTATTTGAACAGTAATTTTATTTATAATTAATTAAGTCAACATCTATATTACTCATATTTTGGCTATATAAAAATTAAAACACATCATTTGAACATACCAGCAACAACCAAACAACCACAAAACATTAAAAAAACTGGTGTCATCTTAAATTATTCTACATAATAAAGATTCATTGAACATTTTTTTGGAGTGCTACTAAGTCACCACGTGTCATATTTTAAAACTAGCTAGAAAAGAATCTTAGAAATTTGAGCATTAGTAGTTTCCACTTAAATCCATGGCCTATTATTTTCAAGCACTAGAAACATATCATGTCTTAAAAATTAGGGGAAAAATCAGATAAATCCAAGAAAAACATCTAATCATTGGATTTCACTTAAATCATTTAGGAAAAATAGAAAAAGAAAGTCACCTCCACCTCCCTCGCTCATACGCACATAACACTACCACCCCCTCCCTCTTTGGCTCGAGCTATACGCTCTTCATTAGTCATAAGCTATTAAAGTGAAGCAATCAATAGTTATAAGCTACATGTGCGATGTCTAATCTAACTTTTGCTCTATTATAATCAAACAGAAAAAAATGAAATAAGCATATGCCTATATTTTGTTACATAAGAAATAGGAAATTTGGGAACAATCGATCCAAGCATTTTGCAGGTCATCCAAATAGTAACGAAATACTATAAAAATTTATCAACAAAAATTACATCATTATACGTTAGTCTAAAAACATGCATAGCTAAATTCAATCCATATTATCCAAAAAAATTATAAATCTATAAAATCCAAGTATAAAACATTTTTTTATGGACAACACCCCTACCCTTTTACATGTTATCCAAATAATAAAATAACTATGAAATAATTTAGCAACATAGGACACCGTCATATATTACTTTGTAAACATGAAAACTAAATTAAATATACAGTGCCTAAGAAAAAATATATTAAATAAAAAAGATCGGAGGAACATATACCATTGGCCTTTTACATATCATCCGTATTGCCATAAAAGAATTATGAAATAATTCAACAATACAAATCATGCCACCATATATTGTTTTCCAAACATGAATAGCTAAATTAGGAAAAAAAAAGTTAACTCAAATATAAATAGTCCAAGTCACTACTTAAAAAATCCAATGGCTTTAGTAAAAGAAAACAATCCAATTACTTCATGTTTTTTGAAATTAATGTGTTCAAATAATCCGAGTAAACCTAAATGATCTAAACTATGTTATGTTACCATCTAATAGATTTTGAGAGTACCATCTAATTTATTTTAGATGGTGTTTAATGCACTTCTGGTATATCACACATAGATATTCAAGCATGTATTCATAATAAATCACATTCCAAAAACTAATAATATGAGTGCACAATTATATTTAGCCCTCCGATTGTATTATATTCACGCTAGGTTACATGGAACCTCGTGCACACTTTACATAAAACATTCATATATAGGTTTTTTCTCACACTAGGACTCTACAAATTCATGCATTTGGTATAGTCTCATGTTACATCCAATTAATAGTGAGAACCTATATCGGTCTTACATGCTTATAGAAAAGGTAGCTCATTTCTTTTCAAAAATGTTGACATAAAAAGTGTAACACTCCATCACTATTTAACATATCACTGATTTTAAACTTAAAATAAGACTTGTATAAAACAAAACAGAAAATAGAAAAAATGCCAATATGAACTGCATTAATTGAACTAATTGGAGAAAATCTTATAACTTCTTTTGCTTCATACTTTGCACTTAAATTGAAACAACCATTGCCATAACCATGCATCATTTTTTAGTTAAGTGCTTAGATATTAATTATTTTTTCTCTATCATACGCCACTGTATTATGAATTTCTCCAGATATTATTGCAAATATAAGCAAAATACTACAATTACAGTATATAGTTGATTTAGAAGTTATAATTCTTACTATTAAATTTAATATTTAAGGGTCAAGTTGATTAGATTTTTCTTTTAAAAAGTACAATAGATCACACATATTATAAGAAAATGAGACCTAGGATGCATGTATATCTCCTCTGTCTTATTCATATGTAAGTAATAATTAAAGTGCATCCATATAAACCAAATAAAAGGATGGCTAGCTAGATGGTACAAATAGAACACATTTGCTAGCAATCATAGTATTTTAAGATTTGATAAAAAAGTTAGCCCCTAAACATTCAATTTTTTTTAAAAAAACTATCTTTTAATTCACATTTAATTTGTTAGATATGTTTTCTAAACATACTAAGTCCGCCGTATTTTAAATGATAAGAAGATTATAGATAATTGCTTAAAGGATGATTAAATATTATATGGCATAAAGCTAACAAAAAGGTCAAAAATTTATCTGAGCAACACATTCTATGATGCATGCCCACGCGGATGTGCGGGCTACCTTCTTAGTTGGTTCTAAAAGATGGAATTTCAAAAGAAAAAAAAGAATAAATGATATAAGAAAATTGATGGCATTTCTGCATGGGAGAATGCAGGCAAAAAAGTACAAACTGAACTAAATTCTGTACTTGAAAAGACGGCGAGAAATATAGAACGCAGGCAAAAAGTTAGCAGATATATAGCTTTTCAGGACACATACGATTTCTTTCACATGAGAGATCTTCTTTCTGTTATCATCTAATTGGAACCAATTTAGGGCAGCCTGACATTGATATATATTCAAGCTTACAGAGTTTTTCTATACCCTCAGGCAAGGACTCAATGTCATCGCAAAAGCTGATATTAAGTTTCTTGAGAGAGGTGAGGCACCCCATGCTCTCTGGCAAATACTTCAGGTCTGGGCAGGACAAGATCTCCAATTTTTGGAGAGAGACGAGGTCTCCCACCCATTTTGGTAGCTTTGTCATGCTTGTACATCTATGCAGACATAGTTTCTGTAGCGACATGAGATGTTTGATGTCCTCCTGTGATTCGTTCATCTCGAACCTGTTTATTTTCAATTCCTTAAGAGACACGAGCTGACCCAACCAATTTGGCAGCTGGGCCTGGTTATACCATCGCTCCAGAGTCAATGATTCTAGAGAGGAGAGGGCTCTGATGATCTCTGCTGAGATAGTCCAATCATTGCAATCATTGATAATTAAGCCTTTGAGGTCCGGGAGGTGGTGAAGCAACCTCCACTCATGAAGAGAAACCTTGCAGTTGATACTCAAAGTAGTCACTAGAGGAGAGGAGCAGGATGCGATGATATCTGCCGCACTTTCTTCCCATGAGGATATGACACCATCACTTCCCCAAATGTTCCATTTCTCGGCTCTTAGTGGGCATGGTGTAAGTCTCAGCTTGGTGCACCGAAATATGCTCAACTCAGGAAGTATAGGGAACATAAACTCGCTCACACCATCCACACCACTGCAGTATATTGTGTTCCACACTTGCAGGCTTTCCATATCACGCATGACAAATTTCTTCAGTCGAGGAAAGGGCCTTCGGCCACCGCAGAAGTCCCCATCAATTTTTGTGACGCTCTTCATTTTTTCAAGAGTTAACTCTTTCAAATTAGGTAATTGACCAAGTGGTGGTAGGCTGATGCAGCAGGGCATATCCATCATGGTAAGACGAACAAGATTAGGGAGATAAGGAGCAATGCCCATTAGCCATGCTGGAAACTTGGTGCAGTTATAACCATGTATCTCAAACTCCATTAAATTTGTTGGTGGAATAATCTCTCCTAGCAATTCAATATCCTCCACAAACCTCACAGCATCTTTGGCCCACTCAAGTTTCAACTCTTCTATTCTTTGCTTTTCCAAAAGTTTTATTATCTGGACCTCATTGATGGACCTCACATTTTCAAGACTGCTTATCTCCAACTTAGGTGGATTTACATCCTGAAGCAGAACAAGGTTGCTGCCAGAGCCATTGGCATTTGCTTGGACCACAAAGTGCGGCAATGAGACTGAACTTTCGTTCAATAGACAAAACATGGACTTCCCCAAATAAATGCGAGTATCTGCATGCAGAAACTTCAGGTTATCAATGTTATGGATGCTTGGTGGTATCTTGTCCAGAAAGCTGCAGCCTGAGACATCTAGTGTATGTAGCCTTTTGAGGCTACCAAAACAGTCAGGTAAACTCCTAAGATATTCGTTGTGAGACAAATCAAGGTGCTCAAGGTTCGAAAGGGTATTAATACACTCGAAGAAACTGACATATGTTGATTTGTCATGACACTTTTTATTAAGCAAGTCCGATAAGTTCAAATACTGGAGTTTCTTGAGATTACCAATGGCTTCTACCTTCCTTCTAATATACACGTCATTTTCGAAAATGTTGTAGCAATGTGATAAATTTAGAACTTGGAGGTTGGTAAGTCCACCCAAGGCTTCTGGTATACCCTTAACCTGAAGACAATGTGATAAATCAAAATGCATCAAACTATTGAGATTTCCAAATGACGTTGGTAGTTTTTCTAATTTCTTGAAACCTGATAAGTTTAAATATTTAAGATAGTTGAAGCTACACAAAGCTTCAGGTAGTCTTTCGATATCAGAAGATTCTGATGACAGATTCAAGTATTCAAGTTTGGTAAGTTTACCCAAAACTTCCATTGCCGACCCCCCAAGAATGTATGAGCAGCTTGATAAGTTCAAATATTCCAATTTCCTAAGTTACCCAAAGCTCCTGGCAGCTCTCCAATATTTTTGCAGTTTGATAAATTTAAATATTCAACATTGGTGAGACTCTCCAAGGATTCCGATACACCTCTAACCCTAGTGCAATGTGACAAATCCAGATGAACCAATTTTGTTAGCTTGCCAAATGACACTGGCAATCTTATTATTCTTGAACAATCTGATAAATCAAGATACATCAAGTCCTCCATTTCTCCCATAAATTCTGGCAATGCCTGGATTCCAGAAGATCCCCGAAGACTAAGATACATTAGTTTCAAGAGCTTGGTGATACCATCAGGAATCGTTTCATGTTGAACTCCTGTGGCATTAAGATACCTCAACTGCTTCAATTGACCAATAGAATCTGGCAATCTCTGTATAGAGCACTCACTTAAATCCAACAGACGCAGGTACTTAGCAGATGAAAATGAATCATTGTGAAGTCTATTATCTATGCTGCATCCCATAAAACGCAGTGCCCTTAATGTTTCCAATGGCTTGCTAAATTCAGTACGCAAAGCATAGCGGCAATTTCTTCCACTAGTGTCTCCTTGCAAACCATCATTCTGTATTTCATCAAACATGACTGATCTTGCCAAGTCGTGGACCAGATCATGCATGGTTAACAATATAAAATTGTCGTGATAATCTCCAGCAGTCTGTAACATAAAGCAATTAGTAATCAGCGTGAGGACTTCATATTCCTGTCATTTCATGTTTTAGAATCTGTAATGAAGGCCAATAACATGTTGCATACAATGAAAGCAACAGACAATGTAGACTTCCAAAAAATAATGGTAGGAGAATCAATCGAAACCATTCAACTTTTCTCATCTCATAGATCATATTTATTTATGATACCACCTCACTTATTGGTAGTAGAATTAAAGGGGTATAACTGTTTCCTATGGTTAGCTACAACATTTTTGGGGGATCACTTGCATCGATATAACTTATAAATTAATGGCTAAGATTTCTTCTATTGATTATAATATTGGTAGCAGAATACTAACAGTAAGGGTAAAAGTACAGTAAAAAATACCGAGGAAGAACAAGTTTTTTAGCTCATGTTGTAGTGATTAAGAAAACATAATTATAGGAACTAACCATGTTTGGTATGCGCAAGCATGGTGAGATTCATGATGATTAAGTGTGCTACAATAATTCATCCAACAAGGGAATTGGTGCGGTCTTTGTTGAGAAGAGAAAAAGGAAAGAGTAACTAAGGACCCAGCTGGTTGTTGCTGGTTTGACACAACAAAGGAGTTGGGATGTTGCAGAAATAGAACATGGCTTACTTTATGTGCTATATATACTATTAAAAAGGAACGAAGCAAGTAGCTTGATGAAAATGAAGCTAGAAGGATCGTTTGCCGCACACAGTAGCACATGTTAACATCAGAATATTTTTTATTTCCCAAAAGGATGGAGTAGAGTTCAGTTCAGTTGAGTAGAGTTTGGACAAAGTTAAGACTAGTTGTCCATTAAACTCAGTAAACTGGACAATTCAGTCGAGCCTTGGAGGTTGTTTGGTTGCTAGCCATATTTTACCAACATTTTTCTCAAGAAAAGTTACCATATATACTTGGCTATATTACAGTTAGGCAAGCCTAAAGAGAATATATGTTGCCATATTTTCTTTAAGTAAGTGATGCGTGGGACCTAATTTATCATAACTGTGACTGTAACCAAACAGCTATTAAATTGGTTAAACTTATCTAACTTTAGACATGAGAAATTGTGACCGATAAATATAAAAGTCTCATACAACATATTTCTATATTCCATAAATTTATATGTTTTTCATACCATAGGGCAAAATGGACTTTTCTATAAGAATTTAACGGTCAACTAACGAAAGGGATATGAAGGAATCCAAACTAAAATTCAGGGTATATAAGGAAATGAGCAAAATTCAGGGTCATATAAGGTATTGTGCAGAGTTTGAGGGGTACACTGGGAATTTTCTCTTTTATCTTTCATATATTAATCTAACCATCTCAACCTCACATCATTACTTATAGATATGTGCCTTATGTTACTTATATCTAGTTACTTAGGATATATTAACATTCTAAGAAGTGTTTCTACAAAGGTTAAAATGCCTCAAGAAATTTCGGTATCATGCAAATTGTGAAGGGCCGAAAAGATGCCCTACAAGATAAATTTAATAATATATGCTAAAAATGCCTCCATATATTCTAAGTAACAAAAGTGCCTCTACATAAGGTTTTTGTTGTAGTGGCAGTGCAAGTTATAAATTAGAAAATACTCCCTCCGTTTCACAATGTAAGACTTTCTAGTATTGTCCATATTCATATAGATGTTAATGAATCTACTATACACATATATGTCTAGGTTCATTAACATGTATATGCATATGGACAATACTAGAAAGTCTTACATTGTGAAACGGACGAAATATATGTGATAATTGAGGCAACTCTTAGTGTTAATAGAGAATCCCACAACTTAATGACATTTCTTTTAACTTCTTGGTACCTTCTTATACCCTAGTGTTAAGGTACCCATAGATCTTATAAATGACCAATGAAGAGAACTTTTAAAGTCCTTCATAAGTTACCATTAGGTGACACAAATTATATTAACACTAAATTATGGTACCCTAGAGCACCATAATATGGTTTCCTCCTAATAACTAAGCAAGAGTTATAAAAACTCCATAAATTAAGGTGAGAGATGATAGAACTGGCCACTAATGGGAATACGGAGTAACTTACATATAGTGACTTCGGACGCTGAAGAAAGGACATCCCCAACAGTTGAGTAACATACATCTCACCAAGTTGTCTGCAGGAATATACCTTTGATGGTTTGATAAAGTTGAGAGAAATCCATTGGTGAATTAAATCATCCTTAACTATCTTTTGACCTTTAGGAAATATTGCACAATATCCAAAACATAACTTCAAGCTTGGTTGCATTTTGACATAACTTAACTTCAAGGATGCAAGCACATGATGTGGTGAAGATGCATCTTCTAAGGTAGATTCATTCCAAATATCATTGTCTTTCACTGATTCCCATTCGTCAAGCCTTTTGGAATGTAATAAATACCCAAGGGATTGAGCAGCTAATGCCACACTGCCACATTTCCTTGCAATCTCCCTTCCTGTCTGTTCCAACCGTTCTTTGTCACCTCTATCTTCAAAAGCACTTTTTTGTTTTATTATGTTCCAACATATGCCATCTGTCAAGGGCTCTAGCTTGTAGGGTTCAACATTAGAAAATCTCCTAGCAATGTCTTCATCACGTGTGGTAACTATGACGATCACCTTGGCTCCCGTCCTGACCTTTAGCTTAAGCTTCAATTTATCTAATTTGAAACCATTATTCTCCCAAAGATCATCCAAAACTATTAGAATATTCCTATTGGTAGGTGCCACCTCTGAATCACTCATGCTAAGATCCATTTTGGGTAGTTGTGAAATTATAGAGCTCTCAATTTTATTTAAATCAAACACCTGGGACACATAGACCCACACAAGAGAATACTCTCTAAATTTCGTATCACTGAAAACTAACTGCACTAAGGTTGTCTTGCCAATACCTCCCATGCCATATATTGCAAGGATAATGAAATCTTGGGTCAAGATCTTATCAGATAAGTAAAATAATATCCTCTGCTTGTCTTGAGCCCTTCCAACGATGACTGATTCTTCCACGTTTGGAGATGTGGCCCGATCATCATAGAGTACTTGTACAGTGGAGCTGCTCTCTGGCATTAAATTGAAATCCTTGTTTTGTTTCGCGATTTTCTCAAGTTGCACCCTCATCTTCTTCATATTTTTGGCCATTTTAATGTTGGACCACGCTGTAAAACAACAGCTGATAGTTGCACACTGCAAGGTTTGTACTTGCCATTAGATAGTAAAGTAGTGTGAAAACACATTACACAAGTAATTTTACTATCCTTTAGAACACATTACATCACTGATTTTAGTATCCTTGAGGTGGTATGGAAGGTACTGCACTTTTTGTAGTACTAATTTGTGGAACTTCAGTTACCTCAACACTAAGTGGGTACCCAGAGATATAAAAAAGTTTGTACTACCTCCACCCCAGAATAAAAGTAAATTTTCACAAAATTACAGGTATTTGAATGAAACTATTGCAAAACTACACATTTAACGTGTTGTATCGCAAAACTACAGATTTAACACCAAATTTATCACAAAACTACATATTTAAGGCTAAGTATCACAAAACTACTTATTTAATATTGAAGTTATCACAAAACTACAACTTTTAGGGTTTAAATTCCTAGGACCATTATTATGTTCTTTAGGGTAGGATCACTCTTTTGTTGGATTATTGTTTTCTAACTAAATTAGTTCTAGTTTTGTGATAATTTTGTTACTAGATATGTTGTTTTGTGACACCTCCTATTAAATGTGCAGTTTTATGATAAATTTGGTGTTAAATCTATAGTTTGTGATACATCGAGTTAAATCTATAGTTCTATGATAATTTGGTCATGGTATTTGTAGTTTTGTGCAATTTATTCCCAGAATAATTGCATTTCTACCATTCAAATTTTATCTAAAAAATTTGTATTTATAACAATGTGGTGGACCCAACAAATTAGTTAGATTAAGATATATATATATATATATATATATATTGTCTCCTAGCCTCCTATCTTTCCATCCCCATCTCCTGACCATCCTTTTCTTCAAGTTTACGTATGGAATGTGTGCGTGCAATGTGGTTATTAAATAGAGTTATTATAGTCATTTGTGCATGCTGCTAATATGTATGTAATCTCCTAGAAATATAATTATTCTAAGACGGAGGTTGTAATTATTAAGAGTTTGGTGTCTTTCAGTGGCTTTTAAAGCTGGTAAAATATATGGAATTTTTTGAGAAGGTGCTAGGAGTTATATTTTTAGTACTTGTAGTCTATCACTTGCAGAACTAATATAAACCATTGATTTATGAGCACTACATGTAGAAAACTAAATAGAAAAAAAGATCCTACTATCAATAGTTATGGGGATATTATAAATTGATATGGTTAAATAGATGGGAAGAAATCAAAAAATGAAAATGAAAATGAAAATTTATGATTTTTTTATTTTCATTTTTAGCACAGATTGTAGCACTAAAACTACAGTACCTCTCAGTATCTTAAGGAATAGTAAAATCACTCGTATACCAACCAGGAGCCATACACACCGTGTATGTATAAAACAAAAATTCTAATTTAATACGTAGCAATAATAAATTATAATTAGTATTACCTCCATCCCATAATATACTCCCTCCATACAAAAACAAACCCAATCCTGGATTTAAATCTATAGATAGGATTGTGGTTTTTTTTGGGACGGAGGGAGTAGTAACCTAGTATGTCCCATTCTATACTAGGCTGTTATATTATGGGACAAAGACAATAATTTGTACTATCAAATTAAGAACATCGGCCTGACAGAAGAACCTTTGGTGCAACTGCTTTGGTCATGGCATCTGCTTCGAACTCATCAATCATGTCGGAGATGTCATATGCAGCGAACTTGAGCCGCTTCAGCCACAGCAACACCGCCACGCTCTTAACTGACTGCCTCTCGGCGTCCTTGAGCAACGCCAAGACAGATTCCAGCGTCATCCTCATGTCTTCTAGGTCATCGTTGAGGTTGCACAGCCGCTTGATCTCACCACCGATGATGGAACCAATCTGCTCGGCCACAATCTTGAGGACGGCCGCGGTAAGCATGCCACCGACTTGCGCCATGGCTCCCTCTCTAGGATATTGGGTGGCTAAAACGCTCAGTCTGCTCAAGGTTGTCTGTATGGGTAAGATTCATGTGATCCTCATTAGTAAATTGTGCAGTCAACTGTAGTACAGCTGTCACAACTCACAAGTCTTTTCTACTACCCCCTGTTCGGGCATATTGAAACCGAGAAAAGATGTCATCTTGCTTCATTCAGAAGTCAACTTATACTAGTATATCCTTCCAAATTGCTTAATGAGACACAACGCTTGAGGTCATCATGCTCTGATAGATAACTGAACAATCATCCGATACTGACATTAGAGACCGAGTAATAAAATGCTCCCGCACATGAACTGAAATTTCCTAGCTAGCGACAGTGTTACTTACTTATTCGGAGCCTGAGTGCGCCAGTAGTTTTGCCTTGCCAGGCAAGCCTGATGGTTTCTATTGTTATTGGCATGAAGACCTGTGGACAAACAAATGTGTAAATTGAAGAACGAAAATCATTTCACAAATTAAAGACTAAGAATTGTGGTATTGTAAGTATCTATTTAAGGACCGTAAAATAGCTCACTTCTCGGACATAAAAAGCATAAAGCCACGAACATCGTATGCTTTTATTACTCAAAGCATGATCTTATCTTCTACACTTCTAGGAACTAAAAAGGATTTACCCTTGCAGCAAAGAAATTCTTGAAGGACAGAAAAGCATGACAAAAAAATCCCCCCAATGTCCTTATCTTCCCCTTCTTCCACCTTCTTCTCCTCCTCTGTTCTTCATGCTCCTTCCTTGCTAATTATCCCTCTCATCTGGCTGTCAGCAGCAGCACAAGGCTGCACACAAGCCCTTGGTTTTGCAGCCCAATGTGTGTGGTAGTCTTGTTGATGCTATGAGCAGCATGCTAGGCTGGTTAAGGTTACCAGAAACGCTGTAATATAAATGCAAGTGTTACTATGATTTTTCTTTTTGCATGAATAAATATAATATATATAAGATGCTGCGATGCATCAACTTCGAATTATATATGAAGATTAAAAAAATATAATATATACAAGATGCTTGCTACAAAAAGAGACAAAAGGCCAAATTAAATAACAAGCAGATTGTTACAGCACGAAGGGCAAAAATAAAGGAAGAAGCGAGGTGATAATTGACACGAGCATGCCAGCTGCACATAGCTTTAAGATTCGTAGCACTTGCTGGTTTCACCCTCGTTTCCATTTGCCTAGAGAGATTGGCACCCTTCTATTCTATCGACAAAATAAAACACAAGGGAAACCGCCTAGAGCCCTAGATCTGTGGTGCTCTGCACATAGGAAACATAGTAAAGGAAACCAGTTGGTGCTTCACCAAGCGATACAGGTGTCAGTTATGGACTTATTGGCATTAATGGAAGCTCGATAGTAAAGGAGTTAGAATTTGACACTGTATGTTGAAGGATGTGGGGGCATAAGAGGTAATACATCATAGAATTCAACATGGTATCAGATACATGTGTGGTTTAATTGCCTATCTTGATGGGGAAATGCTCGAAATTTAGTCTAAGGCTCTGTTCGAATGTCATGGTTCCCAACTCCCCCTCTTCGTTTTCCGCGCGCACGCTTTTCAAACTGCTAAACGGTGTGTTTTTTGCAAAAGTTTGTATACGAAAGTTGCTTTAAAAAATCATATTGATCTATTTTTGAAAAAAAAATTAACAAATAATTAATTAATCACGCACTAATGGACTGCTCCGTTTTCCGTGCAGAGGAGTTGGGTTCTCAACCCTATCTAACGAACGCAGCCTAAGAGGAGTCCTACACACTTTTTTTTTTTGAAAGGTTCCAACACTACTACTTGAGTTCCCCAAATTATTAGGAGTTATTAAGAGAACTCTACAGGACCATTCCCGAACATTTCTATACATCATAAGTTTAGATAGGCACACTAACATGAGGGAGTAATATGCTGGTCTTTTTTCTCTTATTTACACGAACTTGTGAGTTTTCACGAATGTAATCTCAGGCATCTTATCTGTAATGTTTATTTTGGGTATGACCAGCACGGTAAAACAGACCTTTTACTTTTTAGTGAGCTTTAATGGCATTAGGCAACTAAACTACGCATATTTTTGGGCTGCTTCATCAACATATAAGAACTCACTAGTTGTATCCTCATGAAAGAATCCTCTGGAGTGATACAGGAAATGAATAAATTACACAATGTGATGACAGAATGTAATAGGCGCAGAACAGGAACATTATTAATATGAAGATGGGTTTGGCAGGATACATACTTTTCTTTTTATGTGAGCCAGCTTCATCACATTCTCATCTGCTGTACACCACAACTTCAATTCAGGACAGGCTGCAATATCCAGAATTAAGAGATTGGTGAGTTGTTGTATGCTCTCCGGTAAAAACTTGATGCCCCCACAATTCCAGATACTAAGTTCAGTGAGAGCGGTAAGGCCTCCCAGCCGTTCTGGGAGTTGTGGAATGCTTCCGCAATAACCCAAATGCAGCGAACGGAGGGAGTGCAGTGGCATGCTCCCTTTTATATTATTTAGCTTTGGACAGCGTGAGATCTCTAAATCTTGGAGACGTGAGTGTTGGATAAGTCTTTGTGGTCCTTGGTCGTGATTCTTCTTTTTGCTTTTGGGTAGTTTCACCTTTTTCAGGACAGCATCTACCCTTTAGCATATTTTTCAGTTGCTAGGACAGCTGCGGTTAGTAGGACAGCAGCAGTTAGCATCTCCTTTATGCCTCCTTTATGCTTTATTCAGTTTGGATGCCCTCTAGGACAGCATCCCATTCAAATTTCAAATTTTAGACTAGGAGGGTGCAGCAATAGGCTAGCAGCCAGCTATGGCTATATATATGTATCCAACCTCCCTCGGGTAGGCATGGCTTTTGTGTCTAGTGAATGAAGAAAACCAGAAAATTGCCCCATCTCGAGTGCCATCCTCTTCTCAATGAGAGTAACCATTGAAATTCTAACATCTGGTATCAGAGCCACACTTTCCTGTAGGCTAAACATCTCTTGTTCCACCCCTTCCCAAGCTCGATTGAGCTCTCAGCCAGCAGCAGCAGCAGCACCGGTTGCTCCTCCTTCCCCTTTCCCTTCCCCCTCTCCACGCAGCAGCCCCCCGGAGGTGCGCCATGTCCGACGCTCGGTCTCGGCGTTCGGTCGCCTCGAGCACTCGGCGTCAGCAGGACGCCGAGCTCGCCGCAGCAGAAGAGCGCAGGTGAGCAACAGCTCATACCGCTGCAGCAGCAGCGAGGGCGGCCAGACTGGCGGCAGCGGAGTTGGCAGCAGCCAGGGCGGAGGCGGAGGCGGCGGAAGATGCGGCACGTGCGGCGGAGGTAGAGGTTGAGACCTTGCGCAGCAGCATCAACGGCTCCATCGCCGGCGACATCACCGCCGACAGGGAGCTTGAGGAGCTGGCAAGAGGAAGGGCACGGGAGCGAGCAGAGCGGTGGGCAGCAGCCCACCTCCACGGCGGCGACGGCGGCCCAAGGGACCGCGCGCCCGCCGACGGGAACCCAGACGGGCGCGGGCTTGCTGGCGGGCGCGGGCTTGCTGGCGGCAGCCCGGAGCCCGCACGCGGCCCTCGCAGGCAGCACGGCTCTCTCTCCCCTGACCGGCGTCATGGTCACCACGGCGTCCAGATGGTGGTCAGGGACTTTGGTCCCGGCGGTGGGTGGCCTACCCTCACCAAAACCAACTACATCGAGTGGGCCGCGGTGATGAGGGTGAGGCTCCAGGTGCGGCACATGTGGGATGCAGTCCGGTACGGTGACGTCGACTACGACGAGGATCGGCGGGCACTGGATGCCCTCATCGCTGCAGTCCCGCCCGAGATGCAGTTCTCGCTTTCCCAGAAGCGGACTGCCAAGGAGGCCTAGGACGCCATCGCTGCGGCACGCATCGGCAGCGACCGCGCCCGCAAGTCCACACTGCAGGCACTCCGCAAGGAGTGGGAGAACCTGGCTTTCAAGCCAGGTGAGGATGTTGATGACTTGCAGAAAATGGTGCAGTACGGCGACGACACCTACGATGAGGAGAGAGCTGTCGAGAAGCTCTTCCGCTGCGTCCCTGAGAAGTACAGGCAGATCGCTCGCTCGATCGAATCTCTGCTGGACCTCTCCACGATGTCGATCGAGGAGGCGTTAGGTCGCCTCAAGGTCGTCGATGGTGATGAGCCACAGCCTCTCTCGGGGCCCATCACCATCGGCGGGAAGCTCCATCTCACTCAGGAGCAGTGGGAGGCCTCTCAGGGTGATGGGAGGAAGGGGGAGTCATCTTCCCCGACAGGCGGCCATAAGCCGCGCAAGGCGCGGGGAGGTGTCCAGCTATGGTGGGCGCGAAGACGTGCCGAGGGTGGCGCCCGCAGAGGCGCCCAGGGCGTTGCCACCGGCAACCACAAGCCGGCACGAGACGACGCCTGCCGCAACTGTGACAAGCTTGGCCATTGGGCCAAAGACTGTCGACAACCACGACGTGGCCAGGCCCACGTCGCACGGGTGGAGGAAGAGCCGGCTCTGCTCCTGGCTCACGCAAGCATCGAGCTACCTCCAGCGGCACCGGCCGCAGCAGCTTTCCTCCACCTTGATGAGCCGAAGGTACTCGTCTCCCTCTGCAACGGCTCCAGCAACGACAAAGCTGATGGGTGGTACCTCGACACCGGCGCCACCCATCACATGACCGGCCGACGGGAGTTCTTCACCGAGTTCGACTCCAGCGTCCGAGGCTCCATCAAGTTCGGGGACGCCTCCGGCGTGGAGATCAAGGGTGTTGGCTTCGTCACCTTCACCGCCAAGTCCGGTGAGCACAGGCTGCTCACCCGAGTCTACTACATCCCCGCGTTGAGGAATTCTATCATCAGCGTGGGACAACTGGATGAGAACGGCTCACGCGTGTTGGTCGAGGATGGACTCATGAGGATTTGGGATCGCCGTCGTCGCCTTCTTGCCAAGGTAACCAGAGGCACTAATCGACTCTACATCCTCAGCGCGCAGGTTGCACAACCAGTTTGCCTCGCCGCTCGTCGGGACGACGAGGCGTGGCAGTGGCACGAGCGCTTCGGGCACCTCCACTTCGAGGCCCTGAAGCAGCTCAGTGCCAAGGAGATGGTGTGAGGCATGCTGTGCCTTGACCACGTGGAGCAGCTCTGCGACGTCTGCGTGGTGACGAAGCAGCGGCGGCTCCCCTTTCCCCAGCAGACGAGCTTCCGAGCCAACGAGCGGCTCGAGCTCGTGCACGGGGACAACGAGCGGCTCGAGCTCGTGCACGGGGACTTGTGTGGCCCAGTGACACCGGCCACACCAGGAGGACGACGTTACTTCCTGCTGCTCGTCGACGACCTCTCCCGCTACATGTGGGTGATGGTCCTCGGCAGCAAGGGAGAGGCTACGGACGCCATCAGGCATGAGCAGGCTGCTGCAGAGGCGGAGTGCGGCCGCAAGCTGTGCGTGCTGCGCACCGACAACGGCGGCGAATTCACAGCGGCTGAATTCGCGTCGTACTGCGCTGATGAGGGCATTCAGCGCCACTACACCACGCCGTACAGCCCGCAGTAGAACGGCGTCGTCGAACGGCGCAACCAGACAGTTATGGGGATGGCTCGGGCCCTCCTCAAGCAGAGGGGGATGCCGGTCATCTTCTGGGGGGAGGCGGTGGTGACGGCCGCCTACATCCTCAACCGCTCGCCTACCAAGGCCCTCGATGGCAGGACACCGTACGAGGCTTGGCATGGGCGCAAGCCGGCGGTCTCCCACCTGCGGGTCTTCGGCTGCCTCGCGTTCGCCAAGGAGCTTGGCCACATCGGCAATGGTCAGTATAGATATAGACATTCGTTGTCACATAGTACGAGCGATGTCTTAAGATTTAGAGAAAAACCTGGTTGATAGTTAGCTTCTGAGAGTTTCTAGTTCATTTTCTAGATCCTATAGCTACATATTATTAGAATATAGACTGTTTTGGAAAAGCACGCTAGATACTCTAGGAGAAATTGCAGCTGTTAGAACCTTTTCCAAATAGGCTTCAAGCTGGAAGCTACTGTTTCTCTTTGATTTATTACCAGAAATATTTTCTTACTACATAGATTATTATTTGTCACTACCAGCCCGATGGTAAAGAACCTAAATAATTCATGCAAAGAAACAGATCCTGAAAATTGATTCCGGGGACCAAATCCAATGGGCTAATTAAGCGCTCAACCAATTCAGGATACACAACTCTGCAGGAACCATAACTCATGAATAGCAGAAATTAGTCAAGTCAATACACGCATCAAGTTAGTTTATTCGTTAGAGCAAGTATACTAGTGAGCTATAAGCGTACTATAAGCTTACGTGAAAGAGAGAGATAACAAAAAATCAAGGATGTTGGCTCTCATGCAAAAACTATCTTAACACAAGCTCCTAGGTAAATATACTAAATGTATAGGTGAGAGATAGAGACAAGATAAGAAAATTATAGCCAACCTTATAGCTAATCCATTATATATGTTGGTTTTAAAATGGGCTAATAGTAGGAAGTGAACTCTACCATTATCCTTGCTCTAGCATGGATTGAATTCTGAAGTAAAGGGGGAACTAGGCAACAGTGAAGCAAATGCTATAGTGTTGCTTGCATTGTGTCAACCTGTCCAAATTAATGAAAAGTTTGGAAGGAAAAAAGACTTATAAAACTAAAAACACAAGTAAAAACAGTAGTAAGCTTGTGCAGGTTGAGACTACATAGATATCAACTACTCTACATCATATTACATTTTTTTCCCCATTGCCATCCCAATTACAGGACTTGGCTATTTATGTCTCCTCTCCACACTGTTCAATTGGTCTTCTGAAAGATATATTCCCTAAAGTTAAGTTTAGTGTCAATGTGCCATATTATCTGCATCCAATCCAGCTTGCCTTGGCACCAACAGTTTGAACATCCTTACCTGTTGCTGGGACCAGGTTGTTCATTACGAATTTCAGTAATTACTAGTCCAGCCTGATGACCTATCACAACCCTGCATCAGTAGATTGTTTGCATTACGCAGGTTTCGCAATGGAGAGAAAGAACGTCTGGAATATCAACAAAGAATGAAGACCACATTCTGAGATGTCAACATATTACTAAAATTCATGTTTGCAGTCAAGCTTATCTTTCTTTCTTTTTTTTTGCAGGGAAAACTTCTTTTAATTTAGACTTGCAGAAGATGCAGCGAAGCAGTAACATGCTCAACCTCAAGATGAATAGCAGGGTCCTTTTTATCACTCACCGTTTTGAACCCTTCAAACAAACTATAGCGCCGACTTTTCCAAGTTCAAAGTCCAGTACACCCTCAAGCCTAGAAAATTATGAAAAACAATATCATTTCTGAAACTTCTCACACAGGAAAAGTTTTTGAACCGGCACATCCTCCTCGACGAGCCGGCGCTTTTGCACATGAAAATTTGGCAAGATCACATCACAAGCCTAGAAGTTATGGATGGGCGCAGTTAATGTAGCAGCTTAGGAACTTACTTGAAGGTAATTGAGTTCCACAGACGAACTGTCTCATCATTAGAACCTGTAAGTAGGATTGGCAGGTCTGGATGGGAACAAACACAGGTAACACAATCCATATGCCCTATGAGTATTTGAACACAAGTCCTGCTCTTGCAGTCCCAGATCTGACTCAACAAGATGAAATAATTACAACGGCATTTCCACAAAAAATGATCAAGAGGTATGACAATACTCTTGCAATTAAAATGTCTTACCCTAGCCGTTTTGTCCAAAGAACCAGTTATTATGTATTGCTGATTTCCACGAGTGAAGTAATCGAAACAGCTCACTGCAGATCCATGCCCAAACAATGTGAATTCACGACGGGAAGAACGGAAATTCCAAACCTGCATTTGCCATATTATAGACTTTAATTCAAAAATTCTGTCTATCAAAATGATAGGAGGTAAAACCTCAGGCCTTCACTGCACCTGTACATTCATCATGGAAGCAGCCGCAAATTTGTATGAATCGTGCGGGTTAAATTTGATTCCATGTGCTAGGACACCTTGCATGTCAAACATCCTAATGCACTCCCAGCCCTTGTTCCAGTCCCACATCTTAATTGGGTCAAGCAAGCCGACCGACAGCACATAAGGCTCAGTTGGATGAACGTCCAAACAGGTGATGTTCCATGAATGAGCTTTGAATCTCTTCACTTGCTGTACAGGGGATTCGTATGTGTACACTCTTATGAAACCATCATGATATCCAACCACAAGCCATTGCTTCCGCGCAATCAACTTGGCTGCGCTAGCTGCAGTTTTGGAGTGATTGATATGTTAGCATTTGCTGTTACACCAGGGGTAAAGTCTATGGCTAGCAGTGAGTTAAGTCAGGTCAGGAAGCATGCCTCTTGGTCCAAATGAGCTTTGAAGCAGGTTCACTGTTTCCTGTGGACAAATATGTGGACCAACCTTAGTCCCAGAACATCCAACACCATTCAGTTTGCTAATTATAAGCATGGAGAAACTTACAATGAATTTCACTCGCATAGGCAAACATTACAATGTTACCACTAATTTTTAAGATTAAGAGAAGGTGGTTCTTTTTATATTCATTATATCATCGGTGGTAGTTATCCGATTTACATTGGGTGGTATACATATGGTAAATTCGGAACTAATTATTCTGAAATTTGTGTTACAACTGGGTTCAGTTTTAAGAAAATCAATTTATGCAGGGAGACATATTTAAAAGTAGAAATTGATAAGTATTAAAATGGGAAATGTGTTTAGTGTTAATTTGTATCTTTGGAACTTCCTAATGTACAGGTACCAAAAATTAACACTAAAAATAGTATATACAGCCCACTGGGAGTGGTCACTTACTTGTGTATCACAGTTCAGGATGTCGACTGAGCCAAAAATATTGCCTGTCAAAATCCTGCACACAAGAAATTTATTATGGTAAAAGCTGGTAACAGCTGTTTTGCATATGCTATGAAAGGAAAAGAAATGTATTAGGTGTTCATCACATACATATTCTGAAGTATCTAACCTTGATTTTGTGGGCTGTAACGACTATGATTATAGTATAACCTAACCACTAGATGAAGTAAAGAATTTTCAGCAGGAAAGAGACAAGCATAAAACACAATGATCGTTAAATCAGAATGTACTGAAGAACTAGGACTCCCTTTTTTTCATGTAAAAAGTCTAGAAAAAACTCATAATACCTAATCTTCACTAAAAGGAGCTTGAAAGCAAGTGGACAATTTATTTTAGAAAAATGTAGATTTTTTACAAAGTTTATTATTGTAAAGCTGGCCACCAGGTCATGACTAATGAGGCTTTTGAAGGGGGCTATTTTCTTTTCACGCTTTAAAATAAAATGGGATCATAGCAAGTAAAGTAAAGGATGATAAATTTATCGCTTTTAGAAATGCAAGAAAATCTTGGTTTCAATTATCACCATGAGAACATGTAGTTTGTCTCCTCAAACAAAAAGAGATGACAATTTCACGTACCATGGCTCAGTGGGATGCGCATCTATGGGAATGTCAGGATTTTCCATTGGAATGATCTGATCAAATGAAACAGCAACCAAAGTAGACAAAATTATAAGATATTTGTGAAAGGGTTTACCGATGTAACAAAAGTAAGCAATTGGCATGATTCCAACAGAATATAGAGATAAAATTTCACCTGATGCACCTCTCGGTCCTCTTCTTTCTCTTTGAAAGAAGAACCGTTATGGTGATAAGCTTCTTGGTTTACTTGGGTGTCACTTAAGTTCAAATGGCTGGCCAACCTGCTCTCAAGGGTGATAAACTCGTCGCTGTATGAGGTTTGCTTCTCGCGGTGGTCGTTGACGAACCGGACCTCTGAGCCATGGCTTATCGGCAACTAAATGATATAGCCAATGTAGTCAATTAAAGAAGATTTACATGCAGCTAAAAAGTCTTTCAAATATAAATACATGTTCCTTTTTGAGTAAGTGGAAATACATGTATTGTAATGTGCAGCTATGAAACTATATACCCAACACTGCAGGTACATAAAAGAGCAATAATTAATAGGGTTCGACCATTATAAAACATATTAAATTATTGAATAGCCTACTTCACATGATTAAAAACAGGGTTGATGTAGAAAACTTCAATTAATTTTACTTCTTTTTTGTGAAACTGCAATTAATTTTACATTTTTGATCCCCTAAAAGGATAATTGTCAACAAAATGCAATCCCAAAATACAGCGGAAGTGTTGTGAGACAGAAGGATGTTGATTCCTAGAAATCCCTAACATACAAGGAGAACATTCTGAAAATGACGATCACCCTAGACACTTAGATCATCTTTGTGGTATTGCTTTTGGTCGCGGACGTTTTTTCAGTTTCTTAAATTTGTTATGTTTGTATTTGGCTCCTGACGAGGGGGTTTTCTCCTCCGTTACTTTCTTCTCTTCTTAGTGGAATGACGCGCAATTCTTTTGCTTGTTCGAGAATTAAAATAGTCATTCTTTAATATATAAGGAATTTTACAGAATAAATAAAGAACATGTCGCCGCTTCATTTACCAAAGTAAAATCATTCCACTTTATGCCTTTATGAAGAGCTTCGCACTAGGTTTATTTTTTAAAAAAAAAACATGCCAGTAACAATATTGATTACCTTGCCAATCATAGTTTCTGTCTCATTAATCTTATTGACGATATCCAAAATATTGGGTCTTTTGTGTCTATCAATCTCCACACATTTCAGAGCTATTTCAGTGCACGTCTTCACCTGTTGGCGATATGCTTCCAATGAGGAACCATTCCATGTTGCTTGTAACCTGACTGTCCAATTTCCTAGTACCTGCGAAATTAGAATGTAAAGCTAAACTATTAATATTCAATACAAAAGGAGTAGTTTTTCAGAGATGATCACTGATCCTGATAAAGACAAACAACATTTCTTACTAGATCAGTAAATTCTTGGGAAGACATTTCAGCACTTCTAGAGCGCCCTCTAGGTCCTGCAATTACGTTTAGCATTACAACACCCAAGCTGAATATGTCTAGCTTGTTTGAGAGTACATTCTTCTCTATGTATTCTGGCGGCAGGTATCCGCTGCATATGGACACATATGTAAGCGCATCCTTATTAGAAAAGGATTCAATCAAATAAGTAATTGAGCTTACACTGTCCCAATTGGAGTTTGTGTGACCCTTGTTTTCTCTTCGGTGAAGAGCTTGGACAATCCAAAATCCGCAAGTTTTGGCACCATGTTCTTGTCCAGCAATATATTGCCCGGTTTAAGATCCAAATGGTAAATAGGTGGCTTCAGTCCCTCGTGGAGATATTTTAAACCCTCACATGTCCCTTTAATAATTTTGAACCGTGTAGGCCAGTCAAGACCATGAAATTCGTCTGCAAAGATACAGAAAAGAGGTATCAACATAATAATAAACATAATCTAAATACCCAGGATTATTTTTTTCTTAGCGTGCTAAGGAATATACTAGAACTGGAGAAACATCGTACCTGAAAGATGATTCTCAAGGCTTCCACCGGTTAAATACTCGAAGCAGAGCGCTCTATGTATTATTGCAGCAAAAACTATTCTTCCTTTGTACTCTGCGTATTTATGTTGTGTTTCATAGCAGTAGGCAACTAGCCGTACAATATTTGGATGCTCGAGCCTCATAAGGTTCTGAAATTCATTCTCGAATTGCTTATCGTCAAATCCTAGAGTATCATTATGAAGCATCTTCACTGCAATCTCTTTTCCATTTCTAAACTCTCCCTGTTAAGGATCTATTGTCAGTACTTAATACAGCTTGATTTAGCATTACTGGTGAAAACATTTGACAAGGATGAAATTGTAAAGCATGTCTTTATTTGCTTTGTAGTCACAGTATACTACAATTAAGTATCATGGACAATAAAAGGCGGGGCATGGTTAATTGCTCATCATAGTAATATAAGTATGTGCAAACATGTAGCGCATGCTTATTCTTTACAACCCATACAGTGCTTTGTCAAGTTATTCGCAATAAACAAATGATGCCCTCAACTTACCTTATAAACTGTTCCATATGCACCTTGACCAATTTTTCGCTCCTCGGAGAATCCATCTGTAATTTCTTCTAACAATCGGAATGTTATATCCGTTGGGTCCATAGTTGAATCTGGAGCTTGATGTCGGTGTCCTGGTTTATGCTAGTAAAGAAGGCCTTCTGCATGAGGACAATACAAAGTAAGTTACGCTGTTAAAGAGCAAGAAGTTGCTACTAGCTCTAGCACTCAACTCAACATCATCTGGCTCTTTTTTCTTGCCCTTTCATTGTTTTGCCTTTTGGGTTCCTGATATCATCCAGATTCAATCTTGCATTTTGAAGTTGCGAAGATGGACAAGTGATGAGAGAGCAGAAATTTCACCTGATTTTTGTAGAGAAAAAAATTCTGATTCACCATCTAAACAAATCATTATCAATTCAATTTTACCCCCACCGTCGCTCAACAAGTAAAAACTCTCAGAATAATTGAAATCGAAGGGTTGGTCCATCATGGCAATGGGGTCACCACTCACCACCCATAAGCTCCTCTCCTCATCATCTTCTTCGCTCATCTTTTTCTCTTTCTTTCTTCTCACCTTCCCCGGCTATGTCTCCTCAAGACGCGCCTCCACATCGGGCGACGGGGCTGCGCCGCCGCCCCGCGTAGCGGCGTCGCCGCATCGGGAGCAGCGAATCCCGCACCAACCAACGAACCGTCCGCGCCGCCAAGTGGGCCACCGCCATCCTCTCCCCCTCGCCTTCTGCCGCGGCTTCGCCACCTCCCGGCCTCACCGGGAAGTCCGGCGATGCCATGGTGCGCGCGCAGCGCACTCAGCATCCGCGACCGCGAGGCCGAGCCCTAGCCGTCTGCAGGCGCGAGCGCCATGGAAGAGGAAAACGACGTTCGGGTGTGTTTGGCGCTACGAGTTGCCAGCTCCGACTCTTCATTTTCCACCCGCACACTTCCTAAACTATCAGATTATTAAATAGTGGTATACTTTTTGTAAAAAAATATAAAAATTACTTTTAAAAATCATATTAATCTATATTTTTATTTTTTTAATGTGTAAATCACAGTTTTTTACGTGCCTAGAGAAAAAGTATTAGCATCCACTCCCCAACGACCTCCAAGAGGGAGAAAATGGACATTTGGCCTCGTTCAACACGTGGTTTCGCTGGAATGCCATCCCGAAACGTGTTTCGTTAAAATATCAATATAGAGCGCGTGCTCATCGTTAGTTTGCCATTTTGGCCAGTATATTTTCGAAATCATTTTTGCTCCTCCACCGGGTGATGAGACAAAATTAACCATCATGTCCTCCGCGCCGTCGTTGAGAAAGAGGAGCTCGTCCTCACCGGCCATCTCCATGTCCTCCACAAGCAGCTCACCGTCTTCCTCCTCGTCCTCCTCCATGGATGGCGTCCGGAGCAGTGCTGTCTGGGAAAGGCCAGACGACGAGATGGCCGGCGGGTCCTCCAACATCTTCCCCTCCCTCAACCTCGCCACCTCCGTCGATGGTGACGGCGACGACCGAGGGAATCCCCAGCCTCCTCCAACAACGGCTGATGACCGTGGAGGAGGAATCCTTCAACCGATGACGGCGATGACCGTGGAGGAGGAATCCCCAGCCTCATCCGTCGGTGGCATCCTCGATACTGCCACCGACGCCGCTGCTCCCCAAGCACTAGCCGCCGCCCCCCGTCCCCGCAGCAGCAGTCGCAGCCGCCTGCTCCAGTGGCAACCTACTGATGACGACGACGGGCTTCGCCTCCTCTTCCGGAGCAGGCCTCCTCACCTCCTCATCCACCTGCCATTCCTCACGGCGGCGACCTCGACAGCAGCTGCGGTCGCGGCTGCCTTGACGACGAACACCATATGTGGCTGCGTAGGTCGAAGTGGAGGAGGAGGCGGTGGCGACGGTGCTGCGCGGCGAGGTGGTCGAGGAAGTCGTGGTGATGGCGCGGGTGAAGGGGGAGGAGGGGGGAACCATCTTCCATGGCTGCAACCGCGAGGCCCGCTCGTCGCTCACCGTCGGCGAGACGCTGTCCGCGCGCCTCCCTGGCGACCGACTCACACTCCTCTGTCGCTTCTCTCGTGGCTCCCCGACGGCCTGGACACAACGGCACACTGCCTCTCCCAGTAGTCGTCCACGCCGCCACCTCTCCTCACTGTGTCAAACGGTGGCGGCCGAGATGCGGTGGCGAAGCAAGGGCATTTCCGTCTTATCATCGGGTGGATGAGCTAAAATCATTTTGGAAATGAATAAAATGGCAAAAATGGCAATATTGCGGTAAGCATGTGCTTCATATAGGCATTTTATCGAATCACGTTTTGAGAATGGCATTCTAGCAAAACCGTGTTTTGAACGTGGCTAAATGTTCATTTTCTCCCCAAGATAGGAGGATTAGAAGAGGAAATTCCAGGGTATAGCGAGGAGTGGTTGTTTCAATTATTCTTTCAGGATTTGCCCTCACCTTTACTGAATTTTAGAATTTCACCATTGTTTTCGTTAAAATAATTAGATTTTTTAAATTTTAAGATTCAGGCCCTTGTTTTCACTAAAACAATTAGGATTTTCAGATCTAGAGTAGTGTTATAATTGTTTTTAAATAGGGATAAGTTTTTTAAGACCTTGATGAGCCTTATTAATATTTTCTTACATGAAGAGCCTTATTAATATTGCATAACAGTTATATCATCAAATAATCTTATACCCTTTTAAAGGGCCTGATGTCATTTTCAACTATACCTTTTTTGGTAAAATTATCAAAAAAATATCTACGTTTAATTTGTTGCTAAATTTAGTCAATACATAAGAAATCCTGCCAAAATTTTGGCAATATTGTCATCTTACCAAAATTTTGGCATTACCAAAACTTGGTAAGATTTATTTTGGCGACAATCTGACCAGGCCAAAAATATTTTAATGGTGGTGGTGAGTAGTGAATCTATGGCCCACCACCACCTTCTACCTAAGAGCAGGTACAATAGCAGGCTTAGCCAGCTATAAAAATATTTTAAAGAGATAAAGGAAAAGAGAGAAGAGCAGCGGGCTACATATCTGTAGCTAGCTGCAGCACTGACTACAAGACGTAATGTGTATATGACAGGTGGGACTAGATATTGATAGTATAGTAAGCAACTATTGTATGAATTGGCTATTACATTGGCTATAAATAATTTGGAGCTAGTAGTGGGCTATACTATTAAACTTGCTCTAATAGGGGAGTCCTTGTTAGGGTGTAGCATATGGGTCTGTTCGGAACCCAGGGTTCCCAACCCCTCTCCATTGTATTCTGCACGCACCCTTTTCAGACTGCTAAATGGTGCGTTTTTTGCAAAAAGTTTCTATACGAAAGTTGCTTAAAAAAATCATATTTATCCATTTTTGAAAAAAAAGCTAGTACTTAATTAATCACGTGCTAATGGACCACTCTGTTTTCTGCGCACACTCCGGATGGAACCAGGTGATGCGAACACACGTCTTTCAAATTGCCATATAAAAAGTTATCTCAGAAGTAGCTAATTTGTTTGGGGCTTTTAAATGGAAGAATAACCAATATGGTCCCTAAAGTTTTACTCCTGGGTTATTTTGGGTTATTTTAGTCCTTAATCTTTTATATTGTCCAAACAAGTCCTTTAAATTTATCACATAGGCTGATATAGTTCTTGGTCCCACCAAATTCACCACATGGACATGCCATGTCACCCTCCTATGCAAAATCTATATGATTTCTTCAATTTACCCTTACATATATCATAGGAAAATAAAAAACAAAAGAAAAAATTTTTAAAAAATATGGTACATGTAAGAGCAAAAATATACGTCAAAAAGGTGAAAAAAAAGGAAAAGTATTTTTTCCTGTGGTTATGTCTAGTTCACCCTTACATTTATTTTTCTATGATATACGTAAAGGTAAACTGGACAATTCATTATAGATTTTGTATGAATGATGACATGGTATATCCATATGACGGTTTTGGTGGACCAAGGATTATTCTAGGCCTTTTGATAATGTTTAAGGATTTCTTTGGACTATTTAAAAGATTAGAGACTAAACTAATCATACAAAGAAAACTTTAGGGACTACAATAGCTATTCTCCCCTTTTAAAAGGTGTATAATTAATGACTTAATTAATGAGTCCCTTCTCACTTCAAATTCCGTTACGATGCACGAAGCATTTAGCTAGTTTGTTGACAAGGAAGCTAGGGGTTGTTAACCCACTCACAAAACAAAAATTTATCAAAACATCCTCCTACCTACACTGGTGGAGAAACCATCTTTACTCGGTCGCCCAAAATCCATAATAGTCCCGGTTCGAATAGGAACCGGGACTAAAGATCATTTTTAGTCCCGGTTCAAAAAAAGTTATTGGACCGAGTTAGACCCCAATTCTTTTTTAGTCCCGGTTGGTATAAACAACCGGGACTAAAGATGGATCTTTAGTCCCGGTTGTTTATACCAACCGGGACAAAAAAAAATCAACCGAGCTGGCGCCACTGCCCCCACCCGGCTGCCTCGGTCTCTCCCCCTTTCTTTCCCCTCCCCTCTCATTAATTAAACAGCCTCATCCATCCCTTCTCCATCCTTATCCTCCTCCATCCCTTCTCCTCTCCCATTCCTCTCCCTTCTCTTCTCTTCCTCCTCCTCCTCCTCCTACCACGTGAGGCCGGGTGGCGCACGGCGGTAGGGAGGGCGCGGAGCGGCGGGCGGCCGGGCAGGCGGCCGAGGCGGTGGACCGTGAGGTAGGCAAGGCGGGCAGCCGGCAAGGCCGGCGGCGGGCAGCCGAGCAGGCGGCCAGCGAGGCGGCGGCGCTCCCCGGGCGGGCGGCGGAGCCCGAGGCGGCAGCGGGCGGGCACCGGCCGTTGAGGCAGCGGGCAGCGGGCGGCGACGCTCCCCAGGCGGCGGCGGAGCCCAAGGCGGCCGGGCGGGAGGCCAGCGAGGCGGCGGACGGCCGGCACCCGATCTCTGCGATGTGGTTTTTTCCTGATCTGTGCGATGTGTGCGGCCGATCTGTGCGATGTGGATTTCTTTTTCTGATCTGTGCAGCCGATCTGTGCGATGTGATTTCTTTTTCTGATCTGTGTGATGTGTAATGTGTGAATGAATTTGTGGAGATGATTTTGTGATTTTGTGAATGATTTATGATGTATTTGGAGATAGAAAATGCAGCTTGATGTATTTGGGGATTTTGTGAATGATCTGTGGTGTTCGAATGATTTGTGGATAATATGAATGATTTGTGGGGCTCGAAATCATGGAAGCAGCAAGGAAAAAAATTAAAAAAAAGAACATTAGCCCCGGTTGTTAACTCTAACCGGGACTAGATCTCCCGGTTAGTAACTCCAACCGGGAGTAAAGATCCTTCTTTAGTCCCAGTTATTTTAACCGGGACTAAAAATGGGTATTTTTAGTCCCGGATTCGTAGTTCCGGTTGCATAACCGGGACTATAGGGGGTTGTGAACCGGGACTAAAAAGGGTTTGTCCACCAGTGCTAGCTAGCTAGGTTATGTGCTACTGCACCTTATGTGCCTTTTTTTTTTTTGACAAAGCGAGAATGCAACATTCCCAATATTCCAATATTCCGAGCAAAAAGGCCGCCGCAATATCAAACAGTACTATCTCTGTAGAGTATGTATCCACTACTTCCGTACAATCCGTCTCGATAAGATTAATTTGTGGTTAACGAGGAAGAATTGGATTGAGACGATACAGTCAGAGGCAAAAATTATCTCCTTTAATTTCCCTTTGCATTCCTTACCATTTAACCATAGTTGGTGTCATGGGGTGTGTGATTTTCTTTTTTATATTACATGGTAGCTAGATGCACATACCACTACACACGCAACACCATACTCACACACCTTGTGAATGTGTCCCCTAACATATACTTTAAGAGACGGAAACCAGCGACATATCACTGATCTCACTAAAGTCTTATTGAAA